AGTGTAATGAGCTGTACACTTCACTGTGCCAGAAGGGTACTGAAATATGAAGGACTTGCAGCAGAAAGGAATATCTGGCACGGTTTTGCCTTCCAAGCATTTACAGTTTTATTTAATAGATATTACAGAAACTTCAAGCATGTAAGAGGCAAGTCATGGACACCTCGCCTTCCCAGATCTCCCCCCATCCCGTGATACACTTGCCCGCCTGGCACCTGAGATACCGCCAGCATTCCCAGAACTGCTCACTGCCATGTAGTACCTGTGCAGGTTTTTCAGTACAACAGCCAAGTGCCTGAGAGCTGTTTGCACGCCTACAGGGCTGTGTACCAAACCACTTGCTTGAGGCTGCTCCTACACCACCACCTTGCGCTGTTCTCCTTCACCTTTACCTGACCAGCAGCACCAGGGAGCCCATCTCGGTAGCCCCGAATTCTCCTCCTGTGCCTCTGTATCCTTCTGTTTCTGGTTATTTAATCCATCAGCTGAAGGAAGCTATGTATTTTAAAGGCTGATTTTACTGTAAGCATTAACCCAAACCATGGACCTTGATGCATGGAGGTGGGAGCAGGAAGGAAGGAAAGCAGCCCACACATGACATTACTGAGGTAACACCCTTACAAGTGCACAGGGGACAGAGACGAACTTAAAACCTTCCTCATCAGACTGGCAGGGCATCCAGGAAGGCCCGTAGACCAGGATAAATGTCTCCCTTTCCCCAAGTTCTTCCTCAAGTATCCCATTTCATTGAAGTTAAAAGCCGTCTGTCAGCACTTCAATACTACCATGAAAGGAAAAATGGATACAATTTAGTACATGGGCTACACATTAATGTTTATCTAGAGATTTTGGGTGTACTTCGACTATTCAAGTCTATGGGGAAAAATGACAGAATCCATCACTTCTGAGCAAATTTGTTTTTGAGGGACTGTTTCCTTGCTTGAATCCCTCTATTTCTATTCACAACCTTTTCCAAGACACATTTAGATGTTCCCACCAGCAATATCTTCACATTTCTTATTACAGCATGCCCAAAGATTGCTTGCCAAAAAATGCCAGAAGGCAGCCCACCGGAATGACAGAGAAGGGGGCTAATTTTAGGAAGCACTGAGACACTTACCTCAATCTATGCAGTGAATCAACAGAAACCAAAATGGAAACCCACTTGGTTAATTTTTACACCACAGTTTTACATCACAGATGTGAATTACACATCATCTAACGCCCACCTGAAAGGGCAACCCTGCTCCTCTACTTCCCACCATCAGTGCCGCTTGCAGTGCCGCTCATCTACTCCACATCCAAGGCAGTTTAGGTTTAAAACTGATCTTGGGGAAGGGGGTACGTGGAGGTTTCCTGCTTTCCTGTGTCCCTGAAGCAGCTCCCAGTGACTTTAGACAAGAGTCAGTGTCAGCACAGAAGCAGGAGCACAAGTCCAGGTGTTTGAGAGAGAGGAAAAGGGAGGGCAAGGATTGAGACTGCCTTCTCAGCGGGTGCTGGCCACTACATCTGCTTAGCTTTACCATTGAAGCCACCTTCAGAAAGGGGCGAGGGGAATACAGGTAGCCAAAAGGAACCAACATCCTTGCCACAGCACTTAGATGGTAAGAAATACCTATGAAATAAAGGGAATAGGTGACAAAGCAGCTGCCCACCTCCTCGTTGCCAAATGGATTTTGACTGTGATGAAAAGCCTGGAAGAGCCTTCTAGAAAAACAAATCAGAAGAAAAATCCTCACCACTTCTTCTGCATGCTAATAAGAAACACACTATGATATATATTTCTTTAAAGGAATGAACAGAATATATTGATTTACTAAGAGTTTTGATAAAGCAATGTTGTGACGTAGAAATGGAAGAGTGAATTTGGTGATGGAATTCTTACGTAGTCAACGGAAAGGGGTGATCATTTCATTTATATCATGAGAACAGCTTCACTCCTGAGAGGCCAAGTTGGTTTAAGGGCTTTTTTTTAGCTGATGCAACAAAAACAGGGAATGAGAATATTTGCCTTCGAAAGAGAAAGCGGCACACTAGATTGACTGAAAATATGGTAGCTTTTTGACCTAAGAAAGTATTTAGACTGGTTTTATTGGGATATTTTCATAATCTACTTTTCAGGTGGGGTTGTTTTGTTAAGGAGTTTGAAAATGTCTGTATTGTCAAGTATGACAGCATTGCTCTAAGAGGGTATCCTTGTAATTAAATTGACACCCAGTGCACCAAATCCCATATTCACTACAGGGCATAAAAGCATAGACAGCTTAAAAATGAGCATGTGCGTTAGATGATTTGGATTATAAAGATATGTTCTGAGGAATACTTTGAAGAAGCCTTTTATGCCTTGATAATATCCTATTATCTTTATTTTGTTCCAACAAAGATTCAAAGTATCAATATGACAAAAAACCTACCAGCCATTTATTCTGGAATAACAAGTCTCCGAGTACAGTAATGGAGTCTAAATTTTGCATCTTATTTCTACTGAAAATAAGCACAAACATTTGCTTTTCTGCAGTAATATTTATGTGATTAGTGTGACTGCTTATACCGCAAAAAATCTGATTAGGAAGTCACCGATTATCTTTCTGGTCTCACAAGAAATAGATCCATTCAACCATAACCTAACCGGACAATCAATAAAAGCCAGCTCGAGCGCCTGCAGATCTACAGCACAACTAATCCATACTGCTCGATGTTCACTCATTAGCAATTAAGAGTTAACCATACCTTAAGACGTGGGTTGCATACCATATCTATACCACTCACCTGAGAGGCAGAAGCTCTCGCGCTCGAGTTTGTAGAAGCGCTCCCTCAGAACAAATGGACAACGTGATGGCAGACGACTGGGGAAGCCTGGCTTTGAAATCCCGTCTGCACTTCCACCGGGTGGGAAGATGGGGCAGCACTGTTGTTAAATACTGTGCTCATCACCTAAAGAGTACCGTCCTGAACAATACTCCAGACCTGTCTATGTCAAGGCATCTGCCTATTTACGACTAGGTTTCAGTAAAATAGCAACATTGGTGACTGAAATAATGAAACACTCCGATTTGAGAAACAGCTGAGTAGGGTAGGGATCTTCATGTTGGAAAAGAGATGATCTAGGGGTAATACTGTGACTGAGTTCTGCAAAAATCACACACCAGAGAGTCATTAGGATTCAATTAAGCTTCACCTTTTTCAATACAGCAAATACAGGTCATCAAGTGAAGTTAACAGAAGGCAGGCTCAAAAATAAAGAAGGAAGGAAGGGGTCTTCGTGCCAAAAAAAGGTAGCACGCTCATTGCCAGATGGTGCTGTGGGCAAATGAAGGTTACCACTTACTAATCAGAAAACCAGCAGGCTCAGCACCATCGCTGAAAGGAATGAGATGCTGAGAGGGTATCAAGGAAAATGTCATGTATGCTTATTAAGCTCTTTTGCCTCCCAAGAAGTGCTCCTCTGGCCACTGCTTAAGAATCCCGATGTAGCTGAATCCTTGGTTTGAACAGTTGTGATTGTCCCTTGTTGTGCTCCTGTATCCTGTTAATCTCTATTTAAATTCAGGAATTTTGATATTCAATGGCTAAACTGAAGATGGGGATATCAAATATGGGGGCAAGACAAATTATAATTTTTATACACTGCCCTAATTCAGGCAACCAAGCTGATTCCCACCTCATCACAGCTTTAATATCTGAAATAAAATACACTTTTATAATAGTCACATTAAAAGAAAAAATTCATTCTTTTTTGCTACCTTATATCAACCACTCTAAGTTTTCTTATTAAATTTTTGATGAGCAAACCTGAGAACATACAGCTTTTGTTCTGCCTCCACATGTTTTAATTCTTGAATAAGATGCTAATCAACATCTCTTCAGGCTGAGGTAGCACATTAAAAGTTCAGTAACTAGTCCTGTGTATTCACATAAGAAAGGCAAACAAAATCAACAATGCCACAGAAATAATGCAGAGAGAAGAAATGATAGGGCAGAAATTGGACGGAACAGCTTTCCTCTGCAAACACAAGATCCACTGCTAATAATATACTTTATAATAATATACACTATTATGGAGATTGCTACCTTCAAAGATTACACAAGTAAACTGTTATATTAAATTCAGATTGCCTGTGCATACGGGCATTTTGTCTAAGACTGTATTTGCTGGTTCTCCATGTTGAATCAAGCTGCGAAGAGAACATTACAATAGTACTTGGGGACAAAAAAAAAAAATAATCAGATGTCCCCATATTACCAGTGAAACAAACAGGAACAGTACCTTAAAGAAGCCCTTACACTTTACACAAGTATTGGTAACAAAAGCATGTAACCATGGGGAAAAAATGTTGCATAATTTTATCAGCAAGCTGTGTTGGCCCCAGTACACGAAGCTAGGAGCACTTCTTCAGGAATTTTAAATACTGCTTTTCACGAAGACAAGGAAAGTCATGACTCTTCCTGCCAGATCCCAAAGTTCTGCCTCAAATTTTTGATGTGCGAGTGTTCTTGGAAGGATTTTTTTCATTTGTTTGCTTTTAAATAATTGCAAGCACCAGGAAACCTCTCTCATGGGACTCACTGCCCTGATAAATGTGGTTTCAAGCAAAAAGAGCAGTGCTGTCAACTCAGTCAGAGGACTGGTGAAGTTGTCCCAATGAACTCTATTTAGGCTTCTACCTCTGGAATCAAATAATTACCTTGCCTGCTTTCAAGAAAGCTTCTGCCTGTATTCACCCTCCTCCCCACCCTGTAATGGGAAAGGCAAGCTGGGTTTACAGAAACATTCAGAATAAATACACATAACTTTTTTCCAAGCATAACAAGCCACAACACAGCATTTCGATATTTTAAAAAAAAAAAAAAAAAAAAAATCCCCTAAACCTTCCCCTTTTTATTTAAAATGGTTTTTCTGTCCAAAATTCACTTGAGTTTTACTTAAGTAGTTAAATGGTTTGGCCACTGAACTGAGAAGTCAGCGATCAGCTAGATGTGTACCCCTCGGTAATCCTCACTGACAACACTGGCATCAGCCTCTTCTCCTGACTCCTGCGGCATGTTCTCAGGGTGCAAATCCTTCTGCTTAGTACCAAAATCCAGCCAGGGAAAATTCAGGGGCTAGGCGACCCTGAGCACAAAGAATTCTGGCTTTTTCTCCAGTCCTCCAGTAATTCCTTTCTCAGGGCCACACAAGTGCAGGAAACCTACTTTATAGCTAACTCTGGTTACAGCCAAGAACATAGAAGTACCACAAACCAATCTCACACACACATGTTTTGTACCTTCTTAAGTGCAGAGGTTTAGAAATTGAAAACAGAATAACTCCACATAAAAAAAAAATCCTCCTTCTCCTTGGGAATGAAATGGGCTAGATAGGCTGAGGTTGGGGTTGGGTTTTTTGCAGGGAAGGAAAGGGTGGAGCAAAAAACCCAATAAAAGTTGAGAGGGTTAAGTTAAAAATATTGAATAATTCATCCAAATTCAGCAAATAACTGCAATATAAAACATTTGCAGTAGCATTTCCAAAAACAACACGTTTTGACTTTTCAGCCTAGTTGCACGTGGGGCACTAGATAATAACACGGGGCATTCCAAGTGCAATTCAGGATTGTGCCTATAGAGAAGCGGCATATTCAATCTCTCAGCATAAGGACGTTCCACATCCATTCCTCTTGACTGACTGAACTGGAGCAAGGATTTGAGCAGAGACTTCCCATTTCCCAGGACAGTGCCTTAACCTCCAGGTTCAGGGATTCTCAGAAGAGTCTCTACATCCCTCCTTTTGAAGCTGAACCATTTTGTGCAACACATTCATTAAGTCACATGTCTATCTAGAAGGTCTGGAAGAAAACATGGGTTTTATTGTGGCTCCAATTAGTGCAGCACTGTTTTTATCTCTGGTGGTAGTATTTTGTGAATAGATGCATCCAGCTTATCTTGTTTTCCTTAAGATACTAAAGAATTAAGAAATAAAATGGCAAATAAAGTCAAAGCTGAAACAAAGCAGTGCATGTGAGGGGTGGAATCCCTTATGGACTCTAAAATCAGTATAATCAGACAGGAATATCACCTCTGTGGGGAATTTCATGACCATATCACCTCAATTCAGACAAAAAGCCAGACAAGATACCAGTGATTATTAGGAGCAGAACACAAAAGAAACCATAATATCTTGTGCTACTATGTAAACTCATAATGTTCTCTCATCTAAAACAAAAGATACAGATCCGTTCTTCCTATCTCCTGCTGGATGGGCTAGAAGACAAGACATAGAAAAGACCAAAGAGAAGTTATCAAAGACCTAGGACAACTTCCGTATGTGGAGATATTAAATAAGTCTGGATTACTCAACATGAAAGAACGATGATTGAAGGAATACATGCTAGATGTTTATGAAATGACAAGTGGCATGAAAAAGATTAATATGGAATGACTTTTGCTGTTTCTTGCAGTGAAAAAAAATGGTGCGTAACCATTTTAAAAAAAGAGTAGCCTGCAGCTTCAGAGGGAAGTACTTTCCTCTCTAACGCAACTGTGCGAATTCACTGCTGCAGGATGATGGTCAAAAACACAAGTTCCAAAATGGTTTGACAAATTAAAAGAAAGTTCGTCAAGGATATTACACACAAATACGTTGATATTGTCTCTGGCTTAATAAATCTTAAGCTGTAGATTGCTAGACGCTACGATGATGTATGAAGGGACTATATCACTGTGTGCCTCTCCCGTTCTTACATCTTCCCCTAAGCTTATATACTAAACTAAGTAGATTTTTGGCCCAGTAGCAGTGTTTTCTTAAGTTGCTATCACATTCTAAAGAGGAAAAAACCCAGCAGCGGTCAAGTTACTGATTGAATGCTGGACAAAGAGACAAACACAGGCTTCAATCTATTCTAGGTGCGTGCCCTCTGCATAAAAATATAAATGCTCCAACTCACCTCTTCTTTCAGGGTGTGAATGGTGCATGGCTGTATGGCCACATTTCCTTCCCATTTTATTATAAATTATCAGATTTCCTTTTTTCTGATATTTGAATGGAAAGCTCTTGGTTTTAAAACAGAAGCTACTTTGCAGAGGTAAAGCAGTCTAAGCTAACCAACTGAAAAAAGAGATCAATTTTCTGCTGATTTACATCCCTGAATGGTTAACATAATACAGAAGTAGTAAGAGCAGCATAATTACGTTGTAGCTGCACTAAGTCATCCCACGTACATAATACCTTATAAAAAAACCCCAACTTTCTCCCATCCCATGATCCCTTCCACATGTGGAGGAAAATAAACAGTGAAGGTAAATAAAGTCAGCAAGTAAAATATCTTCTTTAAACTCGTTTAACTCTTCCTCTCACTACAGGCCAATCCATGAGTATTACTGGGGCTTACAATTGTTAAATACCTCAAAAGAAGATAAAATAACCACTTGTCTACACAGGCTCTCCTGCCAAGGCAAAATGTTTTGCCCTGCTGTCTGCCTTTGTTTCACAGTCAGTATAAACAGTTCCCCCACTGGTAAGTATTCTAATCCTGTGGCGTTTATACTTTCCCTGGCCTGAATTATTTATCATTTCTTTCTCTACAACACATAAAAGAAAAAATAGGTAATGGAAGGGGGCCAGTAACGTTGTTGAAGCTCAAAGTACCCTTTGAAAACACTAAAGTGACCTAGATATTTTCCCTTTGATATGTTGTCTAATTTTTCTCAAGTTATTGAATAAAGTGTTTCTGTTCACACCCTATGTCATTTATACCGTACAGTAACTGACTGTAAAAAAACCCAAAACAACCAAACACCACCTGTAATTCCATCTAAGTGTCTTTAGTGGTACTTTCCTCATGCAGGTTCATAATCCTTTGCTCTTCAGTATATTACTTTTTCCTTTGTCCTGCTTTCTCTTGTCTTCTCTGAATTATGAACACCTTAACAGTGCTCTCTGGTTGCCTCTCTCCTTTTAAATGTCTTTCTGAGCAATTTTAATTGCTTCTAATATTGCAACCACTCACTTTTTCATCAGCAGAAGAATATTTTTAACTTAGATTCAACAAATCATTTGACAAGAGTGCATTTTTTACCCTATTTTTTGCTTTGCAAGGGTTAATTGTGGGTGAAACTTTCAAATACACTTTATAACAGTGCAGTGATGTGTGCACAGCTGTCTATCTTATTCCTTATTGACTACTACTGGTACAACAACTACACAGATGTGTTTGCTTTTCCACACTTTAATTATACCTATACAAATCATACTAGCTTACTTCATTAGGATACTGTGGAAAAAGCCACTCCAAGCATTACCGTAGTTATGTATTGAAACATCCTGATTAGCATTCTGAACTTGAATTGAACTGGACATTCAGTTTGAGAGATATTTTACTTAACTTTCCTCAACCTTTCTTTTCCTTTTCATTTACTTTTTTTTTTTGGTAGATTCACTCCTCTTCCATACCAAGTCCAATTCTTTTCTTAACAATCCAAAGATGAGGTTTACTGTGAGGTTTTCTATTCAGGACTATTACATTAAGGCGCATCATTCTGGTATCTGGTTATCTCCTCTACTATGACAAGATAATGTGGGCTTGAGGGAACATACTAGTATCTCCTGTCAGCCCCCTCCTGTTATATCAGCTCCTCTAAGGGCATGTTCATACAAGGAAGCTGCTACAGAAAAAAAACCCAAGACAACAATGTTTATCTCAGGAACTATTCCACACCACACTTCCCTGTAGGCACAAAGATTTTTGCAGCGTAGTGTAATCCACTTGCAAAGCAGACTGAGGATGTGGTTTCACGTTATAGCTAAGCCAACCTAAAATGAGCATATCACGTTGGGGAGCAAACTACCGCCTCTTCCGTGCTCTTTCCATCTTTTCCAGACCGGTGGTTCTACCGTTAGAAAACTATCCTGACATAAAAATACCCACTTCTTTCTACAGTGTCTGGTTTTTGTTAGTTTAGCTCCCCAGTCAGCTCTCTGCAGAGAGGGACAAGTATGGTTCTGGTGGAAAAGAAGAGGGAGTAGCACACTGCTGGGAGTGGGAGAGGGAAAAGTTGCATCTGCTGTAACATCAGACACTGATGCACCTATACAGTCCTTGCCTATGCCTACACATATTTCAGGAAGGGTCCAACAAATAAATAAACAAATAAATAATTAGTGTATGAACCTGTTCTTAAGGCACAGAGCAGAACGTGTAAAACATTCCTTCACAGATTAGGAAGCTTCATTAATTATGGCAGTATGGAGATGAATCTTTCAGAAATCGTGACTGATTGGCTTCAGCTCTTTACTGAGCGCAAGTCCCTCTCGAAGGCCTCCCCTGTACCCCAACGCTGCGAGCCAAAACAGGATTCTTGCCAAAGGATCACTTCAATGATTCCCCCTCAATCACTTAAAATTCCAGAATCCTGTGAAATTTTTAATCTCCCACAGAAATCCCATGAGCTCTGCTAAGCAGGTGATAAATCCCAGCAAATTTCAATACGGAAACCTCGGGTGCCAAATCCCCGCAAGTCAGCAGAGCTGGAAATGCAGGAAGAGCAAGGACACTGAACTGACACCCGCAGGAAACAGACTGTGGGTACCTGGTCCATTAATTTCTGTTAATTGCCTGAGAGCTCGACTTAGTTTCATTTGCTTCCACTTGGCATCTGCTTAGTCAGGTGGCCAGAAGGCTGACTTCTTGCTGAAATACAGTTCATCTTAATTATCAGAAGTCCTAATGGTGCAAACGTCTTAGGGGACAGTCTCCTTAATAAGGTGACAGTTTGCACGTACCACATACTGTTTGGCACACACTTTCTCCCCACAACCCCCCCATATTTTAATGTATGCAATAGCAGCTGTACAAAACGTTCAGCTTCAAAGCAAGAACCTTCTCCTCCTTTCATTATATGTTTTTAACCAATTCTTTGTTCCAGCCTGGAAGCAGTGATATACCATTAAATTGCCATTTTGGGTTTCATTTTGTTTTTACATAAAGGGCAACAAAATTTCGACAAAAAAACACCATGAATTAAACCACTCTTATCTGTCTACAACTCCACAAGGTTGCTTAGTGAAC